CCTGTCTGTCTGCTGGGTGGTCTCCTGTCTGTCTGCTGGGTGGTCTCTTTTTTCAAGCCCTAGTATTTATCCTTTCCTTTTCTGTAACAGAAGGCCTGAGGCTCCTTTTCTAAGAAGACTTCTTATAGTTCTGGAAGCTGGGAAGTCTAAGATTAAGGAGCCTACATGTAGCATAGGCCCTTTTCTGCTCCATCACATGTTGGAAGCAGAGGGGCAGGAGGGTATGAGAAAACAAGACTGAATTGAAAACCTCTAGGCCTTTTGTATTGACATTAGTCCACTCAAGCATGGAGCCCCTGTAAACTAAATGTTTCCCCTTAGTCCTTGCCTTTCAATACAGTTGCATTTCAGAACTCATGATTTTGGGGGACACAGAGCACACAGCATTGTTGCCACTAGCACAGTGGCATCGTTGACATTTTGGATCGGAGAGCGCTTGGTCATTGGGATTGTACTTGCACTGGAGGATAGGTGGTGGCACCTGGTCAGCAATCAGAAATGTCCTCAGACTTTTCCCGATGCCTTCTGCAAGTGGCAGTGTCTCAACTTGAGCATATAATTGCCTCTCCTCATTAGGGGCAAGTATGAGAAGACTGGAGCTGGCAATTGAAGGCAGGAGTCGAACTAAGAGGGAGGAAACCAGCAACAAGAATGCCAAGAGGAAGGTCGGCTTGCCTTTACCTCCCAAATGCTAGGATGATTACAGGTATGCGCCACCATGCCATGCTTGCTTTTAGGAACACTTTATTGTCTGAGCAAGTATTTACTTAATAACGACTAAGGTGTAGTGCCTGGCCCAGCACTCAGATCCTTTCCAGCTGTAGCAGCCTTGCGCTACCCCTCTGCCATGCTGCCCCCGCCATGTGCCCACCCCCACCACCATCATGATGGTCTGCACCCTCAAATCCTGAGCTGAAATAAATCCTTCTCCTCTTAAATTACTGGTTTAGTAACAGAGCAGCAACTAACACAGAAAACGGATACTAAGACACGGTGCAGTTGCTGCAAGAGACCTGACTCTGATTTGCAGGCCTTTGGGGCTTGTGTGAAGGAGAAACAGAGATGTGTTTAAGGCTACAGGCTAGTGGGGCTCGAGTATGTCATAAATCTAATTTACAGTTGCGTATCTCAGGTTTAAAATAGGATGGCTTATTTTATTTTTGACAAGAAATGTTTTTAACTGTTTGTTTAGTTCTTTGCTCATTGCCACAGTCATCATTCTGAATTGTGTGTGTGTCAAAATTTACTACATACTTTTCCCCACATAAATACATTTTGTTTAGAATT